ACCTGAGCAATATCTGCAGAGCAGAACCTGCCTTCCACAGCAATTATTTTTAGTTAGCATATAGCTAAAATCTAACGATGGTTATATAATAGCAGCTGCATTCTGGCGCAATAAGCTCTATGTTTTATATTCAATTAACGTATGATCTGATCAGCCAACTAATCGAAAAAATAATTGGTGATTAATCGACTATAAAAATAATCGTTTGTGACAGCCCTATTTCAGCTAACTAAAATGGTTTTTCAATTTCAGTTTTTGTTGTTTAGTTAGTTTTAGTTCACTATAATAACCCTGGTTTGAACCCAGGACCTTCTAGCTGTGAGGCCACAGAGTTAACCACTGATTCATGATGCTGCCTAAAAGGTTCATTAAAACCTGCCTTGAGTCTGCTTCGTCAGGACTTGAGCTTTAAGGAAACCCTCAGCGAAACCCGTCTTGAAGGCCTCCTGCTGTCCTTCAGGTATGTTTTTGTTCTTCAACAGGCTGTCAAGACTTTCAGCATCTATCCCCTTGTCTCGTGTGAGGAAACCCTGTGGCACAACAACTTTACTCAGCAGCACTCACAAATCAGCACAGCCCCTCAGCTATACTGTAATAAGACAAACACTGGAAGCTCGGTCCTGCCAAAAGATACAAGACGTTACGAGCTTGGGGCTTCATCAGATTGTTTTTGGTAGCTGTTTAACCTTTCACAAATAATAAAATAAATTGCTATTTATTAATTTAGTTCACTGTAATATATTGAGGACTGTACAAAGCCTGTGGTGTAGGAGAGCTGGTTTCAGTGCTTACCTTCATAAAAGATGATGGGAAAGCCTCCGAGTCTGCAGGACGTTCAAAGGCTGACTTCACGGGTCGAGTTTTGCTCCTCAACGTTTTGAAGCCTCGGCTCTGAATTAACACTTAAATAACAAAAATTAGATGAACAAACAAGCAGTGGTTTCTCATAATAGATTAAACAGAAATATAAATGCACATGTATAGGACAAAGTTTGCAGCTGATTGGAATGTATGTTTTTTCTTTCAATAAATATAGTCTACACTGCATAAAAACATGCCATTTATTAGTAAAAAAAACATTTAAAAATATATTTTATTAAACTGCTGGCAAATGCTTCTAATCTAATATTACCTGGCCAGTGTTTCAGCTCTGTGCAAACAGTCTGAAGTGGTGAAAGCTGATGTTTCTTTGCGAAAACAGGGTCTGCTGCGCCCATGGTACCTGATGAGAAGCCTGGGTAGCAAGAAGTGGAGATATTTATAGGGTTAAAAAAACAAAGGATTGGAAGCAGAGGCTCAAACTGTTTATATAGACAGCCCCAAAGTCAAACATTAAAAGGATCCACGATTAGTTGTAACCTTAGACTTTATTCAATTCAATTCAATTCAAATTCAAAAATACTTAATTGATCCCAGAGGGAAATTAGGTGTTGTTGTAACTCATTTAACTAAAAACTT